CGTTTGCACCGTTGTGATCGTACATTTAAACTCTATCCAACGATATAATTTTTATATTTATTTGTAATACTTTTTCCGACATCATATTTTTGGGTGTTTGACTTTGACAGAGTCAAAATTGATTTAATTGACCTTTACTCAAAAAGGTTCTTACATTTCATTCATATTATTTATTCTCATGATTTATTTCAATAAATCATTTCAAAGTTCATATCATAAATAAATTTCTTAATTTATCCTTGATTTGGGTCTGTACTCAGGTTCCCAATCAAAGTCACACAGTAAGTCAACATATTGGATTAATCTCTATGAGATTTATCCGGATCATGATATTGGATATCAAAACATATTTTATTTTGGCCCAAGGCCCAACAACAATTTATTTTTAATCAAAACAAATTTGATTAATTAATTAATAATTCATTAATAATTCTAGAGTATGTTTTGGGGCGTTACAAAGAGGTGCTGGGCTCATCTTATTTTGTTGATGGGTTTGGGCTTAGGCCCAAGTTCAATATCTTCTTTTCAAACTTGAACTGCATTTTGGTCTTTTGCTATATTTTTCTCCAAAAAATAAGATATCTGATAATTTTGGGTAAGTAAAAATAAAATAAAAATAATGTAATCTAAAAAATGATTAAAAACTACTATTTTTAAAATAAAATAAAAATATTGTGAAAATTAAAATTAAAATAAAACTAAGCAAAACAACTAGAAATTAAACACAAAAATATTAAAAATGGCTAAAAAAGAACAAAAAGAACCAAACCAAACCCGACTTATGAACGACAAACGAACAGACAGAATGTTGTCGGAGTGAGGATCGACGACCGGCCCCCACAAACTGACATGCCGTACGTACGGCTAGTTGCGACTGTTACATAGAAAACAAGTCAAACAACCAAATATTGGACGAGAACGATGCCCAGATATTTTTGGACGTAGATCGGACTAGACGATAACGAAGCCCAAATTTTTTTGGACGTTGATCGGACTAGATGATAACTATGCCCAGATTGCATACAACGAAACAAAATTGACGGATCTAACTTTTGACGGCGGACGAATTTAGGCGAAGAGAATAGATGAAGGATGCCACCCCACCATTGTTGCACCAATAACAGGAGACGCCAACGTATGTCGACTAGCTATTGATGATGGGTGTTTGATGACGATCAAGCAATAAGGTGAGGACAGACGAACCAAGTGGAGAAGTTGCTGGACGGATGGGACTCCAGGCGAATGACTGTTCATGATGGCAAAGGTTGTGTGGCGGACGGCGGACCTATTTGTGGGCGGTTCTGGCACGATATGTAGTTCTAGCGTTGATAATAACGATTGGCACGTCACACCTAGAATTAGGCGACGAGGCACCAATAACTTAGACGATGTCCTGGTTTACGGTGACGACCTAGGACTGGGATAGGGCAAGAACGACAGATCTATAGATCTAGACGCAAAGCATAATGAACAAAAAAGAACAACATCCCGGCAGACGGCTAATGGCGGTGGCACCGCCCGCTAGTAGCGAAGATAGAATTTTTAGGCCACTAAGAACGGTGGCTCTGATACCATGTAGAAAATAATAATGGAGAATAATTCTATATTGATTTGTCTTCGATATTACAAAGATTGAACCCTCTTTATATAAGAAGAGAGTAACACAAATAAGTAAGTTCTATTTCTACCATAATTATATTCCTATTTTAACAAGAATAGAAAAACTAGCAAACCCTAAAACATATTCTAACAGATATTCTATCATGTAGTGTTAATTTGAGGGCTAAATGTATAATTTTACAATGACAATATGTCTTTCTCGTCATACACAATTTCAAATGTCGCTTCTGATGCATCGTTTGTGAATAACAATCGTATTCTTCTATAATTATAGCTTATAGATGCGGTCTTTCATCGGAATTCTAGTCCGCAATTATAGTCATTATTTTTATATTATCCGTCTAATCAATATCAGAATATGTCATTGAAATAAGGTTAATGTCAAATCATACTTTTATCCTTTAAAGTAGCACCAACAAGGTAGAAGATCAAAAAAGATCATTTCGGGAAAAAAACCCTTTAAAAAGGACTACAGAAGTAATATTTGATAATAAATGATTAGATATGGAAATTCTCTTGTTATAACCAACCAATTATGAAATTTACACTTTTTTTAAATTAAACCCAAAAATATTGGCAAGATAATTTATACCGAGTAGTAATTTTATTTGAGAGTATTTGTTTAATTTGGTTTCTTTAATGATAAATTAAGTAAAATTATACTCCGTAACAAATATTAATACAAACATGGTTTCATTAGTTTATCTTTTAAAAAACTATCGAAAATTTATTTCACTATATTGATATACAATACAAATTTTATAAAATTGATAATTAAAATTTATCTAGTTTAACTCAAGTTTCACTTTTATTTATCCAAAAACAAAACCTCTACATGAAGACATTGAAGAGAATAAAAATTTAAAAGTACAGAGTATATAAAATTAATTCACTGTTGGGGTACAACAAGTGGTCAACCATAACACCGAATTTGACTTCTGGCAGTCCAAGAGATCCAATGTCCAAAAATTACGGAGTACATGTGAAGAAAACCAGCCGCCGGAGCAAAGAATCTCGCCGGAGTTAACAGTTTCAAGCAATACAAATCTCCAATTTCGACCTGTTTTCCTGATCAACGATATCGAGAAGCACCGGATCCACTTTCACGCGACTGTCAACGTGGACCCGAAAACGCTGGTCCCTCCACAGCACCTTGGCGGCGCCGACGATATCCACCGCCGCGTCCAGATCCATCTCGCGGCGCGCGACGTCGGCGACGAACTTCTTGGAGTGCTTGGCGAGCGCCTTCCCCTTGAGGCGCGCCGGGAGGCGGAGCAGCTGGCAGGAGCGCGGCGGCTGGGAGCCGGCGTCGACGCGGGCAGATCCGAGGTGCGATCCGGAGTAGAAGATGGACAATTCCGTCGGGGAGTACTCGATCGGGGCGATGTTAGGGTTGGAGACGTGGACGGTGAGGATGACGTCGGCGTCCACGACCGGGAAATTGAGCTTGAGGGAGGTGAGATCTATGGAGACGAGGTGG